CCTACCGATCCTTGACTTCGGCGATGTCATTTACAAAATAGCTTCCAACACTCAACTCAGCAAATTGGATGTAGTCTATCACAGTGCCATCCGTTTAGTCACCAAAACCCCATATACTACCCACCATTGTGACCTGTACGCTCTTGTTGGCTGGCCCTCACTACATATTCGTCGCCAAACCCACTGGCTCCAGGTCATCTATAAATCACTTCTAGGCAAATCCCCGCCTTATCTTAGCTCATTGGTCACCATAGCAACGCCCACCCGTAGTATGCGCTCCAGCAGGTATATCTCACTGGTCATCCCCAAAGCCAACACCTCCTTTGGCTGCCATTCCTTCCATTTCTCTGCTGCAAATGACTGGAACGAACAACAAAAATCTCCGAAGCTGGAGACACTTATCTCCCTCATTAACTTTAAGCATCAGTTGTCAGAGCAGCTTACCGATCACTGCACCTGTTCACAGCCCATTTGAAATTAGCCCACCCAACTACCTCATCCCCATATTGTTATTTACATTGTTATTTATTTTGCTCATTTGCACCCCAGTATCTCTATTTGCTCATCATCTTCTGTACATCTATCACTCCAGTGTTAATACTAAATTGTAATTATTTTGCACTATGGCCTATTTATTGCCTTACATCCATAACTTACTACATTTGCACACACTGTATATAGATTTTCTATTTTCTATTGTGTTATTGACTGTACGTTTTTGTTTATTCCATATGTAACTCTGTGTTGTTGTTGTTTTTATCGCACTGCTTTGCTTTATCTTGGCCAGGTCGCAGTTGTAAATGAGAACTTGTTCTCAACTGGCTTACCTGGTTAAATAAAGGTGAAATAAATAAATACAAATTGATAATTTATTGATAATTGATTCACATTCAGCACAGTATGTCCTGTCCACCTACAATGGAATAATGTCCATGTACAATTAGTTCTGATTCTCACTCATAGTTACTGGCTGTGTATTCCTGGGGATGTATGCATTAACCGTCTCAGAGTTGGAGTGCTGACTTGCTAACTTGCCTTTTAGATCCTAGATCAGTACTCCTACTCTGAGATGCTTGATAAATACAGCCCCTGATCCGTAATTCTGACACTGTAGACAGTAAGGCTTTTTCAGTGTGTCACCTACAGTGCTCTTCTACAGTGTGTTTTTCTTTGCCCGCTCTCTCTCTTTTCTGGCACATCCACATTGGTGCTTGATCTGGGCTGTGGCGAGTTTATACTGGACTGTAAAACAAAAGCAAACATGAGAAAGCAGGAAGATAGGCTTGAGAGGGAGGCCCTTATCAGTGGAAAGTTTTTAATTATGTTCTATCTAAACGGCGTGTGTTACTCTTGGCACCTGGGATAGGGGTTTGATATCTTCAGATGTGAGAGTGGAGATGGATCAGTTCAAAGGCCTATCGGTGCAGCTGGTGAAATACATTACACATTTATTAATAATCTCAAATAATTCTCAAATTGAGGTAGCGTACTGAGGTAAGCGTTTTTAGAAATTCCTCAAAATATGCTTGTATCTTGTAGCCCATTTAATGTTTACTTGAGCCTCCCAATGGAATCATTTGGTAGAAGCTGATGAGCTAGAGAGAGAAGAAGTGTAGCTGAGTTTATGGTGAAGCTTATACGATGGCACCAATAGCACAGATGACATGTGTTGCATTATTCCTTGATGGTTCCGTGCAGATTCAGATTAGCTAATGTACTCAAGCCCTTAAACGTTGGAGGTTTATTCAATCAGTTGTATAAATAAAAACAAATCATTGATCTGTATTGAAAAGTCATTTTGGCCCAGAGTCCTAGCAAGCCCAGTCCCAGGCCCAGATGACACAGACAGTACATCAGTGACTTGGATGGATGCATCATGAATGCGTCATTCTTTGTGTGTACTGGAGGGCCCAGCAGTGTCTCAATGTACTACAGCAGTTTTGTGGATACGTCAATGACAGCCTTGCAGGGGGTTAGACATTCCACGGAACTACTGCTGGGGGGAGAGATTTGTCATCAGCCATTACCTCACATAATATAATACAGAAACACAAACACATATCTCCCCTCATCACCAGCTGGGACCCCCCCCACACTGCTGACAGTGACAGAAAACCCAAATCATATTTGACCTATGTACACTTCACTGTTAATGTTTAGTTCATAAATGTTTCCATACAAACAAAGTAAAGTTGATAAAAGTTTCCTTACAAATTTGATTCACAAGGAGCTCTAGCCTTGAGACATAACAAAATAACATCACATTTTTCTATTGACAGTTTATGTGTTGTCAAAGAGCATGTTAAAGCTATTCATTTCAGTCTTTGTGATCTCAATCACTGTGAATCAACACTGAGAATACATCTTAAAAATCGTTTTCCACTTCAAGCAAGCTACAATGAGTGTACAAAACATTAGGAACACCTTCCTATATTTACATCAACATTTACATAATTTAGCAGACGCTCTTATCCAGAGCGACTTACAAATTGGTGCATTCAACTTATGATAGCCAGTGGGACAACCACTTTTTTTTTAAAATGTTATGGGGGGTGGGGGAAGAAGGATTACATTTATACTATTCCAGGTATTCCTTAAAGAGGTAGGGTTTCAAGTGTCTCCAGAAGGTGGTCAGTGACTCCGCTGTCCTGGCGTCGTGGGGGAGCTTGTTCCACCATTGGGGTGCCAGAGCAGCGAATAGCTTTGACTGGGCTGAGCTGGAACTGTGCTTCCGTAGAGGTAGGGGGGTTAGCAGGCCAGAGGTGGATGAACATAGTGCCCTCGTTTGGGTGTAGGATCTGATCAGAGCCTGAAGGTAAGGAGGTGCCGTTCCCCTCACAACTCCGTAGGCAAGCACCATGGTCTTGTAGTAGATGCGAGCCTCAACTGGAAGCCAGTGGAGTGTGCGGAGGAGCGGGGTGACATGAGAGAACTTGGGAAGGTTGAACACCAGACGGGCTGCAGCGTTCTGGATAAGTTGTAGGGGTTTAATGGCACAGGCAGGGAGCCCAGCCAACAGCGAGTTGCAGTAATCCAGACGGGAGATGACAAGTGCCTGGATTAGGACCTGTGCCGCTTTCTGTGTAAGGTTAGGTCGTACTCTGCGAATGTTGTAGAGCATGAACCTGCAGGATCGGGTCACCGCTTTGATGTTAGCGGAGAACGACAGGGTGTTGTCCAGGGTCACGACAAGGTTCTTTGCACTCTGGGAGGAGGACACAATGGAGTTGTCAACCGTGATGGCGAGATCATGGAGCGGGCAGTCCTTCCCCGGGAGGAAGAGCAGCTCCGTCTTGCCGAGGTTGCACCACCTTTTGCCCTCAGAACAGCCTCAATTTGTCGGGGCATGGACTCTACAAGCTGTTGAAAGCATTCCACAGGGATGCTGGCCCATGTTGACTCCAATGCTTCCTACAGGTGTGTCAAGTTGGCTGGATGTTCTTTGGGTGGTGGACCATTCTTGATACACACGGGAAACTGTTGAGCGTGAAAAACCCAGCAGCGTTGCAGTTCTTGACACACTCAAACTGGTGCACCTGGCACCTACTACCATTTAACAAGTGACATCAATAAGGGATCATAGCTTTCACCTGGTCAGTCTATGTCATGGAAAGAGCAGGTGTTCCTAATGTTTTGGACACTCAGTGTATATCCACTCCAAATGAATAGACACCCACACCTATTTGACAGCTGAAGACTAGCAGGCTGTATGTTTGTGTTTCAGAGAAAGATATCTGTGTAAAAAATGCAACTCAGAAAAATGTCCCTGGAGCGTACATATCCATGTTGGCTGGACTTCAAATTGGTAAATTACTGAGCTGACATGATACCACTCTAACCCAATGATTTTAGGTCAATGTCAGTTGAATTTGAGGGACCAGTTTACAACTAAACCATTTATTTCAGAGGCTGAAATATGATGCATTAAACCAGATATAGCAAAAAAGTAAGTGGATTTGCTCTAACCATTATTGTTTATCTGGTCTGTGGTTAGTCAGTGTAGATTTGAAAGAATCCACTGTCTGGTCCATTAATTGAAACATGACTGAAACTGGAAAGGAGTCAAAGTGAATAACCATTAACATACTTTACTCAACCAAACTAAGAAATATAACTGGCATCTGTCAATAACAAACTCATTTAATCTATATTATAGTTCAACTTCGCGTCTCTTGGCATAACTGCTAAAGTGTTGGGTTGACAGTCGTTGGACCAGGGTTCGTGTCCTGGTCGGAGCTATGCCCCTAATTCGCTACACTGGTTCAGCTTAAATATGATTTCTAGTTTGCTCAACATTTGGGCATATTATTGTAGCTGAACCAACATCAATTCTCAAGTTGAATTGTATGTTCACTCAACCTAAAATTCAGTTGAGTGAACATACAATTCAACTTGAGAATTGATGTTGGTTCAGCTAATATGTAAAAATAAAGAACGTCGCACACTCTAATTATGGTCCAACCAACGTTTTAACGTTGTCGATAATATGCCCAAACTGGAAATCGTATTGCAGCTGGTTGCTGTGAATATTTTAAGTTGAATCAAAACATCTTTTTTATTTTTTAAGTTTGATATTGTATTGGAACACATATTAGTCTGCTCATCAGTTTACTCACAGGATTTGAGCAAGAGAGAAAGACTACTGGGTCATCAGCTAGTCAACAGTCTATTTTCAAAATGAAGACCTTCAGTGACTACTGTACAGATGTCTGTTCCTTCCAAGCTGAACATCTAATAGAGTGTGAGGAAGAATAGGAGAGAGAGAGACAGAGAGAGAGAAACTAGGAAAAAGAGTGTGAGGGAGAGAGTGAGAGAAAGAAAGAGAGAGAGCAGTTGAGAGAGAAGGAGAGAGAGATAATAGGAGAGAGATGGATTGTATTGTAAGTGGTAGTGGGCTACAGTAGCTCTCCCCTTATCTGGGGCTCTCTGTCCCATTGTGGGAACCCGCCCAAGCCGCCTAGGAAACGAGAGCTTCCTGTTGTTTTATAGAGCTTTCCTGCAGAAAGGTTGAGATGTGTAATCTGGGTCCACCAGGGAAGACGGACAGAGCAGTGTCAGGCAGAAATGAAAGCCCCTAATCTGTCTCCCGTGTCTTCTTGTTCTTGCTGTTTTCTGCCTCTTCTTCTCTGGGGTAAGTTGATGATTTACAGAGTACTATATGTATATAAAGAGGGCCAGGGGTATGGAGGAGTATGTTGGATTACTGAGAGAAAAAGTCTGCAAAACATTGCCCTAGATTTCACCTCCTACAGTAAGTGGAATGCTTAGAAGCGCACAGTGAAGTAAGGGATTGTAGTAAGAGTTTGGCAGATCTAATATTAGATTATTGTTTTAAGTAGCCTAAACTAAGTAATTTTGATTTGTTAAAAACATTTTCATGCTCCAATGGTGAGGAAACAGAGGTTAAATATAGGTATGATGATGGTATGGATCTGGTGTAGTTTTCGAAGATTTTAAGCAGATTGCTGTTCTAATTTAGATTATCTGTTTTTACCAACAAACACATAAGATATGTCATTGAGATCATCACAGTCTTCACAGAACACAATGTCACAATAACTGTTTAATAAGGAATACCTCAACTTTAGACTCAATTTCCCAGACCAGATCACTGTCCTTCAAAAAAAAAAAAAAGCAAGTTATTCAAAGACTACATTAAATAGTTTGTGTTTGAGGAAATGGCTGAACTGTTTCAGATTCAGAGAACAAAGGGAGGATGCACTCCCTGCCACTGACCAGCTCTCTCTCTCTTCATTTGTTTCTCTCTTTCCCACTACTTTCTTTCCTGTCTGTCCTATACTGTTCGATCAGTCTTCTATATGTACAAATACATATCTGTCTACTAATTTCTGTATTTGTACTTGCTTGTGTTTGTCTTTGTCTATTTCTCTGACTGTGCACGTGTGAGAATGTGAGTATACACTTTTCTGTAAAGAACTCTCCAGTAACATTGGCCCTGTTTCGTGTCTGTCCCTGTAGCACTGTGCTCTATAGCAGCTGGTCTGATAGGAGATTATGAGGCGCCACAAGCTACCACTCCAGGTAACTAACTGTTGTCCTTTTCTCATGGTCTCTACATCAACTAACAAAACTCATCAATGTCAACTAGTGTTAAAGACCAAGGGAACAACAACACATGTATTTTGTTAGAATATCTTCACTTTGATGGGGGTCCCATGGGTGTCCCGTGTGGCTCAGTTGGTAGAGCATGATGTTTCAACGCCAGGGTTGTGGGTTTGATTCCAACAGGGGACCTGTATGAAAATGTATGCACTCACTACTGTAAGTCGCTCTGGATAAGAGCGTCTGCTAAATTATGTAAATGTTATGATGAACACATTTACATTAATACTTTGATTAAACAGTAGGTTATTCTCATCAATTAGGTTTCACTTCACGGCATGACTCAACAACAAATGCAAACTACCAATCCCACGGTAAGTTACCAGATTCATTTAAAACTTTTTAGGCAACAGTTTAACACCTATTTCACAATATTGGTATTACACAACATAATGATCATAGATGGATTATGTTTGAAATGTTTGTAAAGGTGTAACACCCCATTCATGTTCTAAACAAACATTACCGTCGAGGTTTGTCCTTCGTCATTGCTATCGCGCAACGCTTTGATGTGAAATTATATTTGAATCCATGGGGGACTCTGTTGGACGAGCACTGTAAACACATGGGTTCAGAACAGAACTGGCCAACCTCTTAAAAAAAAAAGACAACCGAGATGCCAAGAGTCCTAGGCTTCTAGCATAACGTGAAGCCAAGACAAACCTGTGGGGAGGTCCCCAACAGTGTGGGGTCAGCAGCAGCTGACACAAGACCCATAATTATCTGGAGTCAAAGGTTAACTGAAACCTCGTTACACCTCGTCTGCACGTCCTGTATTTGTTCACCATTTGCCCCATATGACGGCTATGTTCAACGCATGAACTCTAGAGTTGTGAAACAACTGGAACTTTGGAGCAGCAAGCCCCCCTTCACTGTTCCTCACCCTACGATTTCCTTTTTCTCTCTCTCCCCTACAACTCACCCAACTCTGAGCTCCTCCTCTGCTGAAAATACACATTTCCTGATGTCATTACTAAATCAAAACCGTTGCTCAGCAAACAGATGTGTTCAGGGGCCCCAACCACATTGTGTAGCATAGATTGTCCTGAGAAGACATCTTCTAAATCTTTTTAAAGTCACTTTAAAGGTTTTTTATTTCATCCCAGTAATCGACAAAGACTTGTTCTTTTGAAAAACTGCATCTCTGATAAGGAGCTTGAGATATGAATAATTGTTTTAGTGATGATGAAGAGATGGTCTAATGCGTTGTCTTTGAAAAGCAGTATGAAACTGAGACAGTAGTCTGCTGAGGTAACAGTCATGCAGCTCCACATGGCTCAAGGTACTACATAAAGATCCAGGAGGAGTCCACCCATATACCCAGGCTTATCCTATTGTGTGAACGCTGAAAGTCCTAGTGAGTCGGAGATTTGCATTACTTGCCTGTGGCTGTGGGGTAGATAGAGAGAGTAGGTCTTTGCAAACAGCTGGCTGACTCTAATAACATCTTCCAGATATAATGAAATTAACCCAGATATGAATCCACAGCCGTCTGCACAGCACACCCGTGCGTAAACGCCCTAGTCCTAAATGTTTACTTATGTTTCCGATTTGGCAGAGGCAGCCCTCAAGGCAAATAAATCACCAGCTGCATGTCGGCCAGGCCTTTGACTGTGAGAAATTGAGACTTAAAAGCAGAACTAGAGTTAAAGAGTAAAGGGTTTTCAGATGTGAGTCCAGCCCAACTTGGGTGTGCTCCCTTTTTATTTGAGAGAGAGAGAGAGTGAGAGGACAATCTTTTGAGCCTCCACCCCTTTAAAAGGCAAGACAATCCTAAAGAAATGCACTGGAGAGGGGAAGAGATTGCTGCCAAGGCGCAGGGCAGACTTACAGATCCTCGAGGAACATCTGGTAACCTAACCGCGGGTAACACCTATCTGACATCTGGTAACCGGGGGTATGCCGCGTCTAGCTGCTTCCACCCCTGTCTAGTGTCCTGTTATGCCTTGTAGGGCTTGGTGTAAGAAGTTCAGGCTCAGTCTAGATGGTCGTCAGTCAGTGGGGAAAACTCTCCTATGTTCACTTTCTCTGACATGAAGGGAGCGCTTGGCTTCTTTGGGGTAATCCTCTCCGTTCTCTCTGGTGAGTGTGTGGGCTCGCCCCGGGCGGCAGTGAACGCGCGTCTCGCGTTGCTGGACATTCAGATTGAGTTGCTGACACGATGTGCAGCAGTAAAGATAACATTTATTGTATGCTTCGTTTTGATTGGTATCTTAAATGTTACATTGATAATTTGAAAACAAGATTTTATCATAATTTAAAAAAGATGTTGAATGACACAGCTGTTCAGTCTGTCGGTTTGAGAGGGTGTTTTTAACAGACATTTCTGTTGTGATTATAACCATTGGTCACTCAAATGTATACAAATGTATTGTCATTTTTTCTTCTTAGGTGTTAGCCACGAAGAGAGAGTTACCAGTGGATTAGGTGGGCCATTATTACTTTTCTGACACTACACGTAGGCTAGTTAATAGTGTTGAGGTGACAATGCTGTTTCTGCTTGCTGTTCATCAACATTAAGATTAGACAGGGAACTGTTAGTAATAATGTGTAACCATGAATCTTCTAGACATTCTTCTAATCCTTAATTTTAAGGATTCATTTTAGATGATTGAATCATTTTAAAGAACTGATTTTCTAATGTTACAATACTCTCTCTCTCGCTCTCTCTCTTATTGTCCAGGTTGTGGGAATAATTCTGTTGACTGTGATAACTACTGTGCTTTTGTGAGTATTTTCCCACAAGGACGGAGTGCTACGCTGCTTTCTTTGAGATAAAGTGCTACAGTCCTTTTGTAGGTGATATGGAGTCATTAAACAACACAGATTGGTGCAACTGGAACAATGTGAAGCGGTAGGCCTAAATGCTTCTTTTAATCCACTTATTATTCTGTTTAATTGATTTCTGATCCAACTTATCATGCCATTGGTCTTGCATTACCACATGCTTAGTTCAAACAGTCGTTTTGAGAAACCCAACACATAGTCAAGTGAATTCAGAGTTAACTCACTCATTAATGGTCAATCAATACCATGAAACTCTTAATAATGGCTTTCAGAGCACATAACGTTGCCCTCTGTTGTACTAATAGTACCTCTCCCTCCTATCCCTCCCTGTAGGATGTATAACACCTTCACCCTGTGCACGGAGGAGATAGCAGAGTGTCTGCTGATCCCCTGGCCCAACAGAATGGTGGAGAATGAGTTTGTGGACATCCACTCCAGGTTCTTCCTGGACTGTCCCAATGAGGCGCTGAGCGACCCCCCACCCAGCATCGTATTTGCCCTGGTGATGACCCCCATCTGCCTCATCCCCATCATGGTGGTCCTGGTGGTGCTCAAGACCAAGAACGGAGATGGCAGCTCCTGATAGGACGTCCTGGATCAGTCCTCATCCACCCTGCCTCACCTCCATGTTCAGACTCACTCTCTCTATCCCCTGTGGATTCAAGACTGGGGCCATTGACTCAACTATCTTACAGAGAACTGCTTATCATCTTACACCCACTGATGATTGGCTTAGCTCTTAGGAGTCCTATCAAAACAATCTCACAGCACAAACACCTTACACATGACCTTTTTGGATGCACTGATACAGAATGAGTAGTACCACATGGGCATCATCCAAGGATTGACATTATACGCTTTAGTACTTACAGGGGTTCGAGAAAGGGTCTGTGTTGTGTAACGTGTCAGGTCAATATCCTCAGAGTTGCTTCTTGAAAACTCATCTTCTCCTCATTCGTCGATGCTCCTCTAACTAAAAGTGGTGACAGCTATGTAAATGTTTAAACTCCCTACACATCTTAGCAAAGTATTTAAGATAGTAGGGTTTATGGACTTCTCACTCAGACATTCCATGTCATTCTTGACAATCCATTCCATGACCATCTCCATCCTGTCCCAGATCTGAACCCTAACAGCGACTATGCTAAAATAGTTACATGTTTTTAAATAATTGTTTTATTTTTATATATGCGATTAAAGAATGGCAAAAGTTGGGATATTCTTCAGCACTTGTGGAATTATTGTGGTTAGGGGAGGATGACAGAAGCTGTAAAGCTTGCTAAAATGACGTCAAAGAGATTTTGTTATTGGAATTCCTACCCTCTGGCTGGGAAAACGTGAGTCTCGCATTGCTGGACATTCCGATTGAGTTGAAAACCAAAGACAAAGGCATTCTGTTTGAGGAATTCCCACTCTCCATTTACTGTACACTCAGAAAAAAAGGTGCTATCTAGAACCTGAAAGGGTTATTCGGCTGTCCGTCATAGGAGAACCCTTTGAATAACCCTTTTTTAATTCCAAGTAGAACCCTTTTGGGTTCAAAGTAGAACTCTTTCCACGGAGGGCTCTACATGGAACCCAAAAGGGTTGTGCCTAGAACCAAAAAGGGTTCTCCTATGGGGACAGCCGAAGAACCCTTTTGGAAACCCTTTTTTCTAAGAGTGTAGTTATCCCTATAGGATCTCCATCATGTCTATTTCTGTATGTAACTACAGAACAAAACGTGATGTACCCTCTCACTTGGCAGCTTTCCTGTCCTTGAATGTGTTTTGTGTATATTGGAATTGTATGAGGCTTCTGGAGAGCCCTCCTTGGCCTACCTCCGAGTGTAGGGTTTAGAATGTATGGGGTGTGGGGTGGGCGTAGGAAGGCCATGATGAACGGGTTTGGCCAAGCATCAGTCTGTGAGGAAGGTTGGGGTCAGGAACTAGACACAATGGGTGGGTAGCCTACGCCCAACATGTACCCTATGAGATCTGTTTCTAGGAATTGTCTATTTCTTAGCCTCAACCCCTCTCTCTCCCTCTTGACAATGACGGTCCCCACTGTCGCCCATGATGAGCCAGTCAACGCATGCCTGAAAGATGAATCAAGCATTAAATCAAAAGACTACAAACATTTGGTCTCCCACCTGGCTCAGTGTAGCAATGAGCACTGACACTGAATGAAGACAGAAGGAAAAACAAATGTCTATCTTTCCTCTACTTAAACTGTGTAAGAACTGTTTGTTTTATTTTGTATTATGCTGTCGTGAATGACACTGAAAGCATTGTAGTGCATTCAGTTTCAGAAACAAAGAAATATGTATGCTTATGTATTGTATTTCTGCTCTTACTCTGGTCATAAGATTTACTGGACTGTCTGTGAGAGGGGTGTGGGTCTTAGTCAAAGCATAGCCTCTTTTCTTACACATTGTACTGTATATCATTATATTTTGCAATTAAATACTATGTTAAAGCCAAATGCCTAATTGCTTGACTTTGTTTAGTGCGCTACGGAAAGGGATTGCAGAAATAGATATTGTATTTTTGCAGAAGGTCCAAAGTGAATCTCCTAACTGGATCTAATTGGTTTAAACCCCCTGCCTTAATGGAATGCACAGCTGATAATGGCATGGATGATTCATCAAGTTTTTCCTCATTCAGACCCAGTGCAGAGATGGGTGTTATTGTGAATTCCAAATAGACCCTTTGCCCCTTCACCCTATAGGGCACTCTTGTAGATCATACCCCCCCCCCCCGCCAAAAAAAAAAATGTATTTACTTGTGACTGCATGGGTGGCATTTTCACCATTCTTCATTGCAGTCCTACAAGAGTCCATTGAAGCTCTTTTACTCACATAAATTAGCTTGTGTGTTTCTGTGTGAGGTCTCCTCTCTACGGAAGAAGTGACAGCAGCCGTGTAATCCCCACCCTTATCTGGCATAGACAAGACTGCTGGGTGGACCTCTGTGTCTGTCTGGCTGGGTGGGGTGGGAAAGTGTGTTTGATGGCCCTCTTCCTCTCTAGAAGTCAGGTCATCCTCACCCCTGCCCTCCTGGTGACGTCACCCACCTCCAGTGTCACTCTTCAGGTCCCAGTGGGTCCATTCTAGAAATGAGAATTTCTAGAATGGACACTCCCATTGTCAGAGGGCATACCGAATGTCCATTCTGTGAACTGTATTTGTGTGGTCATAACACACCTTACCCTGCAGCACCAGCCAGTTAGAGCTGCCCATGTTTCTGCAAGGACCCAATATGCAGAGATCTTATAATACATGCAGATATCTACATGAGCAGCTGTCTTCCCACCTCTCCTCCTTTTGCCTTTGCTAAGGTTTTTGCTCCAACCCCAAGCCTTTGTGAGGTGTGTGTTTGTGTCAGTGGTTGTAGGGGTCATTAAAGAGACTTGAGCTTCAGTTGGCGGATGATTGGAGAATGATTGCGCTCATAGCCTAGAAGCTCTGCAAGCCACCCTCAAAGCAGCAGGAGAATGGGGCTGTCTGTTAACATCCCAAAACAGAGGTCCTATGTCAGTGGTCATCTGATTCTCCACCTGAACCACCCGCATTCTCCATCTCAGACTCCTCACTTGCCATTGTACCACATTTTAAATACCTTGGAAGCAGTTTTTAACAACAGCAACCTGCACCTAGACACAAAAGTTGCAGTCTACCAGGCAGTGTGTGTATCTACACTCCTTTATGGATGTGAAACATGGACAGTCTTCAGTCAACACTTAAAACAACTGGAGTCCTTTCACATAAAATGCCTCCAACGCATTTTGAAAGTGACCTGCCAGGACCGTGTTTCACTCTTAGAGATCATGCAAAGAAACAACTACAGGAGCTTTGAGGCGTCCATCACACACCAGCAGCTTAGATAACTCGGCCATGCCATCCGGATGCTAGAGGACCGCCTTCCGGGAAAGATGCTGTACAGAACTGGTTCTCTAGCAAATTAGTAAGATTGTCTCACCCAATGTTCAAGAATGGCCCTTTTCCCTTTATTCAGATTACAACCTCTCACTTCCAGTTATTTGAAAAGGAAATCATCTCCCAAATATCACTATTTCTAAAACAAGCCATAGAAAGTTGGTTGCAATTTCAATTTAATCCTCCAGAAACTACAGAACAAATAATGCAACAAATATTATGGTTAAACTCAAATATACTAATTGACAAAAAAACTATTTTTTTTTACAAAATGTTTAAAAAAAGGTATAATCTTCGTAAATGATATCATCGGTAGGACTAGTGGAATTATGTCGCACATGCAGCTAACAAAAACATATGGAAATGTCTGCTCTACCCAAAATTACAACCAAATAATTGCAGCCTTACCGCAAAAATGGAAGAGGAAAGTGGAAGGGGGAGAAAGTAAGGAACTTGTCTGTCGGCCTTGCATTAAAGAACATAATTGGTTAAGGAAAGCTGTGATAAATAAAAAAGTATACCAGTTTCATTTAAGGACCAAAGGATTGACAGCCGTCCCATATAGATTGCAAAATAGTTGGGAAGAGATTTTTGACGTACCGATCCCATGGCATAGTGTTTATGAACTGATACGTAAAACGACACCGGATTCAAAACTTAGAATCTTTCAATTTAAATGTTTATATAAAATTATTGCTACCAATAGAATGTTATTTATATGGGGGATACAATCTTCCCAGCTCTGCAGATTTTGCTGCGAAGAGACAGAATCATTAGATCATTTGTTTTGGTACTGTCCATTTGTAGCTTGTTTTTGGACACAGGTCCAGGAATGGCTAAAGGATTGCAATATTTACCTGGAGCTAACCTTGCAGATAGCATTACTGGGTGATCTGAAAAGTCATAGTCAATCAATCAATAATATAATAATACTTTTAGCAAAAATGTTTATTTTCAATTCACAATCTGTAGAAACAATGAGAATAGAAAGGTTCAGAATTTTTGTAAAACATCACAGTACAGTTGAAAAATATATGGCAAATAGAAATCCTATATGGATGGTGTTAAGAGATAGACGGGAGGTGTTGAATGGAGTTGAAGGATGGGACTAATAACAACTAACAACAAATAATAACAAGATAACTAATAATGTAAGCATACTGTGTCCATAATAAATAATAAGTCTATATGTTGTAGGTTGGGAGCTTTTGTGAAAGAGCACAGTTAGAAAGATATGGCATATAGAAGCAAACCGGATGGACATCATGAAAATGATTGGAGAGGTTGAGAGTAGAAAAAAAAAAAAAATATATATATATATATAATTATTGTAAAATTGACTGTGTCCATAAAATGTAGATAGTAAGTATAAGCTGGAAGTAGAGGCCTAAGCATTGTTGTTCACTAGTTTACTCCAAGTAGGGAAAGGGTGGTGGGGTTGGAAAGTAATAAAGGGGAATATATATATTTTAAAGGATATGTATGTGTATGTATGTATGTATGTGTGTATGTATGTGTGTATATGTATATATATATATATATATATGTATATGTATGTGTATGTGTGTATGTATGTGTGTATATGTGTATATATATGTATATATGTATATGTGTATGTATATATATATATATATATATATATATATATATATACAGTGGGGGAAAAAAGTATTTAGTCAGCCACCAATTGTGCAAGTTCTCCCACTTAAAAAGATGAGAGAGGCCTGTAATTTTCATCATAGGTACACGTCAACTATGACAGACAAAATGAGAAAAAAAAATCCAGAAAATCACATTGTAGGATTTTTAATGAATTTATTTGCAAATTATGGTGGAAAATAAGTATTTGGTCACCTACAAACAAGCAAGATTTCTGGCTCTCACAGACCTGTAACTTCCTCTTTAAGAGGCTCCTCTGTCCTCCACTCGTTACCTGTATTATTGGCACCTGTTTGAACTTGTTATCAGTATAAAAGACACCTGTCCACAACTTCAAACAGTCACACTCCAAACTCCACTATGGCCAAGACCAAAGAGCTGTCAAAGGACACCAGAAACAAAATTGTAGACCTACACTAGGCTGGGAAGACTGAATCTGCAATAGGTAAGCAGCTTGGTTTGAAGAAATCAACTGTGGGAGCAATTATTAGGAAATGGAAGACATACAAGACCACTGATAATCTCCCTCGATCTGGGGCTCCACGCAAGATCTCACCCTGTGGGGTCAAAATGATCACAAGAACGGTGAGCAAAAATCCCAGAACCACACGGGGGGACCTAGTGAATGACCTGCAGAGAGCTGGGACCAAAGTAACA